GACAAGCTAGCAGACTGGTTGGGAGTTGCTCGATACGTTATGACCCTCCAACTGACAAAAGGGTATTGGTAGATCCTGCTAACGTTGAAATCTAGGGAAAAGACAGCCTTTGCTATCACCTTTGGCTTATACCAATTCCAGACAATGCCCTGTGGGTTGCATGGGCCCCAGCCATGTTCCAGAGGCTGATAAACAGGGTCCCATAGCCCCATCAGGTCATATGGCAGAATATAGGGACAACATAGTGGTCTACAGCCAGACACGGGCAGAGCACCTGGACCATGTGGCTGCAGCGCTGCAGTCACTCTGAGAATGTCTAACTTCAAACCCAGCCAAGTGACATGTGGGTAAGCCTGAATCCTTATACCTACGGTACACTCTGGGGAATGGTCAAATATGGCCACTGGTGGATAAGGTCCAGGCCCTGCAGAAGTTTCTAACACTGAACACAAAAACCCAGGTAAGCTGGTTTCTAGGATTGACTGGACACTAGAGACAGTTTATACTGGCATTCTCTTCAGCTGCAAGTCACCTCACAGACCTTCTGAAGGGCAATCATTCTCAGAAGGTACAGTGGACCAGAGAATGCACCCATGCATTCTGCATGTTGAAGGCTTGCCCCTGCCAGGAACCAGTCCTGTACAACCCAGACTTTTCAAAGGAGTTTATACTTATGACTGATGCTTGCAGTGTGGGTTTAGGGTCAGTGTTGTCCCAAGTGGTGAATGGGGAGAAACAACCTATCCTCTTTTTCAGTTGGAAGCTATTCCCAAGGGAGAAGAATTACTCCATCATTAAGAAAGAAACCCTGACAGTAAAATGTAAAGTGGAAGCTCTCTGATATTACCTGTTTGATGGGACCATCGCCTCGATCACAGACCAGTCACCCCTCCACTAGTTACACACCATGAAGGAAATGAATCCCTGAATAATGTGTTGGTACCTGGCCCTGCAACCCTTCTCCTTCCAAATCCATCACGAGGTTGGAAAGGCCCATCTCAAAATTTATTTTTTTCCAGAGAGGGGAAGAGGTATCCAGGAAGAGAACCTCAAAAGGAGTCTTGAGGGGGACAGTGTATGATGCTATGGACTGAATAGTCCCTGGTGAGGAAGGGGTTAGAGAAAACTGCTAGGCTGGGTTGGCTGTGCCATTAGCTATTCTTTCAGCCAATGCCAGGCAGCCAGGACTGGTATAGAAGGGGAAAGGGGGGACGGGGGACTCAGTGCTGACTGAGTCTGGCTCCTAGTCCTCTGAGCCATGAGGATTCCCAGGTCAGCGTGGGTGCCTAGGAAGATTGTAGCATGGGGGCCTGGGAGTTGTCCCAGTGTCCTGCTACATATCCTTCATGACCTCTCACAGCATCTAGAAGGAAGACCATCTACACATACTGGAAGTTGTGCACATGCAGAAACACATGTGCTTTTAAAATATCCTGTCATCAATGTTTTTAAATTATGTTTAAAAACTGATTAATTAAAAAAAAATAGTCTTATTATTTGAATACCAGTAGGAAATGGTATAGAGTTCTTTTACTAAGGCTGAACTCAAATTAAATTATTGAAAATGAAATTCTTCAATTTTGTGAGCACCATGAGTTGCATCAGATACTATAAACACCATTTTAATCACTTAATCTCAGCCCTGCAACAATCTCAATTTTCCCTGTACAATCTAACTGCAAACTAGCCAATGTTTTTACTATTAGCAAAGTTCAGTAGTTATCTATATGGCTACAACAGTGCTCTTCTTCTTCACGTAAAAGATATGATCCCAACTCTCCACTCCAATCATGTGCACTACTAATATAATTCATTCTCTAAGTATCTAGTTGGTAGCAAGTTACAAATCGATATCATCATATTATATGCGCATGCAAAACAACTCCAGTGTGCCATAAATCCAATGTCTATGTTGAGTCCATGATTTTTTATATCCAGTAGATTTATGAAGTGAATTTTGTAGTTTGGATTTATGACACACTGTAACCTGCCTGACATCTGACTCCCCAGGTACTTCTCCACTTTTACCTGCTACGTCCCCTTCCCCCACCCCAGCCTGTCTCTCACCCCCGGACACCTCAATTTACATATTCACTGACTGGATTTCTTGCATATCAGCCCAGCCTCTGGCTTCTTTACTATTCATTCCATCCAGGAAGACACACACCAACTGCAGATGCTTCCTGAGCCTGACGAAGGGTTTTTAAACCTGAAAGCTTGCTTAATAACTTTTCTCCAACTATTTGGGTTGGTCTAATAAAAGATATCAAATTCACCCAAGGAACCTTGTCTGCCTATGTCTTTAGACCAACACGGCTACAACCTAAACCCCCATAAACACCATGAAACACTTGGCAGACATTATAAAGATTGCAAAACACTCAGCAAATAAAATCATGTGAAGCTCTCAGCAGACATTAAAAGTAGTGTCAGATTATTGGCAGTCATTAAAAACCTTGTCAAGTGCTCTGTGGATATTGTAAACAGCAATACAAGCTAGTGCGATATTATACATTCTATATCAGCAATGTTGTAAGGAGTGCTTTTACAAATTATGGTATCCCTTTCTGAGAACCACTGCTTCATTTCCACTATACTACTCACAGGTTTTACTGTAAAGTTTTCATTAGTTAACAGACTAGAAAAAAATAATTAACATCCTTTTAAAACTCCATTGGTCTCCACAGAAAGTTTTCAGTAGGACCCATTTGTCCTATTTATACTGAATTCGCTGTACTAGATATTTATCAGAATGGTATTGTAAGTTTTCAAATGCTTAATAATACAGGCTAGGAAGAACACTTTTAGGAGAGAGAGTCGATATAGTCTATCCAAAAAAATACTGTCATTTTGTATTCCATTTTGCCAAATTTCTGTCATCATACCTTTGGTGAGGTCATCTCACCAATCATATCTTTGGCCCCACCCAATGGGTGAAACTCACAGTCCTCAGAATTTCCCACAGCTCCTAATGACTTAATATTGAATTTTGTACTTCGAACTTTTACCATAATTTTAGGTGGGTCCCACCTCTCTCCTTTGATAGTATTAGCAGTGCCCACAAACAGCATCCCAGAAACTTCTTGTCAGTCAATAAAGCTATTAAAGAACATTTTACTCACAGAGATTTGTGATGTGATATTTCTGTCTATAGTAAGACTTCCTACTGAGACGATCATGATGGCTTCTGAGTGCATCTGAGGAATATTTTTCTCTATGATGGGGGCTTCTAGCATGCTTGAACACTTCTAGTGTATGCTCTTCCTTCATACAAGATGCTTAATACATATTTTATTATTTCATATTCTTTCTCTTTTGTATCCTCTATTTACCCTATTGCCGTGATTATGATGGGAAAGCTTTTTCAAAGATTTCCTTTATGGGATTTCATACAAAGACTTCTGTCTAGCTGCTTATCTTTATAAAAATTCCCATCATCTCCAGTACAAGGTGGTAAAATATATGGTGCAGGTTTATAAATGCAAGAGATACAAGAATGCAGTTTGATGTTTATGTTTTACTGTCAAATGTATAGCCTAAAAAAGACTATTGTCTTAACTCCTGCAGGAGTACACTGACTTGTGTAAATATACAGTGTAGAACTCTTTCTATGGATTGATGTTTTAGACCATAATTAAATATTATTTAATGCACAAGACAATTATTTTTCTGTAACAAATGTATTCTCTTTTATATGAAACTTGACAGCTGCAGTCTCTTTCAATACTTAGACTCTTTTCTGTACCTTTATTTTTCTTGTGCCTATAGATTCATAGATGTTAGGGCCAGAAGGGACCTCAAAAGATCATCGAGTCCGACCCCCTCCATAGGCAGGAAAGAGGGCTGGGTTCAGATGACCCCAGCTAGATGATTATCTAACCTCCTCTTGAAGCCCCCCAGGTTAGGGGAGAGCCCCACCTCTAAATCTGCTCTCTGCTAGCTTGTGGCCATTATTTCTTGTAACCCTCGGGGGCGCCTTGGGGAGTTAAACCTCAACAAATTCCCTCTTTTCCCC